GGCAAGCCCCGATCCGATCTGGATCGGGGGAGGGGAGTGGGCGACGTGGGGGGTGAGTGTGCGATTTTGGTGGGGCTAGGGTTTGGGTCGTGGGAGATATGGGGAATGAGGGGGTGGCCGGTTGGGCCAGGCCTGGTCGGTTGTGGCCTGGTGGGCCGAAGCCCAAGGGGCTGGGGGCTTTCCCCCCTTTTCTCTTTTTTTTTTGTTTTGATCTTTTACTTTTATTTATTTTGCTTCGGTTTAAAAGGTTTTAATATCAAAACAGTTTTATCAAACTATAAAACTCATACCTAAATTAGTAAGTAGTAAGGTAGCATAACTCACTGTAATAAAATGTTCACACATTATCTTAACTAGCTTACAATTACCTGTATACATAAAAGCATTTATTAAGTATTTTCAAATATTGTTTTAATTATTTTAGTGCACATAAATATTTTATAAAAGTGTGGTTTCGTCACCTACCACTACTTATGGATTAATCGACACACTCCGAGCATTTTAGTTTTAAAGTTTGAAATTTTTTGTTGTTGACATATTTTGAATTTGACTTTTGAACCGGTTTTGAACTAACGAGAGGTTAGTAACAATAACCAGGGTGACTGGCATCGTTAACATGGGATTACTGTAGTCTGATTATCCGGGCGTCACAAAACCCTAAAGAAAGACAGGAACAAGTTAAGTACATCAGCAGATATCCAAACGGGAGGGAGAGGGGGATTCACCGTGATACCCATCTCGGCGCGGCGGCGGAGAGCGGGTGCGGACCGGCGGCGGCGGCGGAGAGCGGGTGCGGACCGGCGGCGGAGAGCGGGTGCGGACCGGCGGCGGCGGCGGAGAGCGGGTGCGGAGTGGCGTAGGCGGCTCGGCTTCGGCCTTGATTGGTCCTACTCTTGTTTGTGTCAGAACGGCCCAGAGGACTCGCTCGTTTGTGTTGGAACGGCCCGGAATGAGGCCCGTTTCGGGCGGTTTGGTTCGGCATGAAATAAAAATGCTGTTTGGTTAGCCTGATTCGGAATCAAACCTGATTTTACAATTTTAGTTGGGACCCATTCTTACTTTGCCGATGAAATATAATCATCTCTGGTTTCATGATAGAAGTAGTACAAATATATAGAACTAGTGTCCGGGAATTTAAAAACCTTGTCTAAAGCTACCCCGATCTGATGGAGATACTACAAATAGAAAACAGTACAAGAAGCATGCACACGTAATTGCGTAGGTTAAGAAAGTTGGATAATCTGAGTTTAACTTGACAGAGAAGAGAATGTGTAAGCTGGACGGGACAGACTTCAGGTACAACATGTAGCCATATTCCTTTACATACATATTTGGGCAATATTACTACTTCATAGCACTAAGGTTTGATTTTCAAACAATGGATTGATTGCCTCCCAGAACGGGAATGGGATGGAGGCGATCGATCAATCACCAGTCTGCCATCAGTTTCCATTCATCTAAGCCTGAACATTGCCTCCCAGAACCAACTCCTTGAACCGAGTTATGCATCCCATTGCGCGCTCAAATTTGCCGCTCTCCAGCGCAAAGCTGAACCGGCAGTAGTCGGGTATCCCAGTCCAGGAGCTGCTGTTTATGCACAGCCCCGTGGCTCTGAGGATGGTTTCCCTGATGTTGCTCGCATCCAGCTTGCCCTCAAAGCCATCAGCTTTGAAGCGCTTCCCAATGTAGGCAGTCGGTTTCGCCAGCATCGATATGCCAGCACAACCGCTGGCAACGTCCCAGCCACAGCTCTGCAACGTCTGTTCATTGTGCAACGGTGACACAAGAGAAAATGTCAAACATAGCTTGAAAGCATAGAAACTACAGAAGAATGATCATCAGCATGTACAGAAGAATGATCATCAGCTCGTACTGCTGCTCCGCCATTAGATCAGAGAAATGCTGATCCTTCTAGTTCTTCAGGCCAAGTAGCTTTTTGAAAATGTGCTGTGCAGCCGACTCAAGCTCGGGAAACTATGAAACGCATCAACCAAGGATGGGTCATTCAAAATTACAAACTCAAAGTCATGTCCTGCTGCAATCAGCTCAAAAGACAGTTCTCCTAGCAGGACTACAGATAATGAGGGCTTTGAACATTTTAAAGAAGAAAGGCATCCTTCCAGATTCCACCGACTCCAGCCATCCATTACCACTCCAGGCCTAGAAGGAGGTATCTATCGCTACCCTAGTAGCTCCATATTCAGCGCAGACGGAGAGCAGCTCTTGAATATTACTTTCACTGTACAGAAAACCAGTAGGGTTGATCGTGGGGCCACAAATGTACACCCATGGCCGAGATACATTCTTAAGAGTGTCAGCTAGAACCTTTCGCTGTTTCGCAAAAAAGCTAGAACCTTTGGCTCAATCTTGAATCCTGAACTGAAAGTTGTAGGTATAGTCAAGGTGCTTGCATTCACAAACTTTGCTGCAGAGATGTAATGGCCATTGGTGCCCAAGGGGAAAAGCAAGGTGCCCTGTTCTTGCCTGCAACAGAGAACAAGCTTATTGAAGAGTGCAAGAGAGGCATTGACATAGATAATTTCAGAACAACCATCTACCGATAAACCATAGCTATCTTTCACCAGCTGCTGGATGCTGGAATGAACATCGGTCTCAGAATCAGTGATGTTTCACCTGACAAAACTTTCAAAGGCACAGGCATTCACTGCAGAAGGTACTGGCAGAAAGCTGTGATCTAAATCCATATGAGTGACACTGATTCATTTGAATCATGAATGAAAGTTTCAGCTGCCTTTACAGTAGACATAGCTGGATCAGAAAATCCTATCATCTGATGAGGTATCACTTCTGCCGGTGCCTCTGAAAAAGAGCAAGGGATACATAAGATAACAAGTTAAGGAAACTAATAAGGCCACCAAATATCCTTGTGCTCTGGATGCGTTATTACCTTGCTCACAATTATACAAAATCATTGAAAAACACAATAAAGCATCCTACCACACAATAGTAGGTACTACCCAACTAGTAGAAGATTTAAGAACTACCTGATTTACACTAAGGGAGTAAGGGGAATGTTCACTAACCATTACAAAGAATTAGTATGGATGGGTTATGGATGAGGCAGATTTGGACCTAAGCATGTTTACCTCCTGCTGTGGATGCCGGTCAGCAATTTGAAATGCCAGAAGCTCATGGAAAAGGCAACCATAATAGTGCTGGCTGATCAAAGACATGTGGCCTTCTAATAGCTCAATAGTTTGTGACAATGCTTTATATACAGCTGCATCTTCAGATATGGCAAAAGAAACTTCAGATCGGAATAAACCTACAACCAAAATCAGAAAGCAATTACGAGCGAAACTTATAATTTTAATTCATAGCAGTACAGTGCACCAATGGAATTAAATGCTGTGTTTAAGTTGTAGGCACCTGGTTCTTTACTAAACCACACAGTATAGCTGCATGGGAAGGTAGGGTCTTTCCAGCAAGATATTTAAATACACCATTAGAGCTTGGCAGACTAGACAACTCTAGATGCTCTGAAATATCCAGGAATAACCAGGGAGACAACATCTTTTGTTGCATTTAGTAAGTTCTCAAAAGCAGCACTTGTGATAGCCTCAAATTGAGCCATCCCAGTAACAACAACTTGAGGCTTTGGCTTCCTGATCAACTCAATCAGTAAATCTGACTGGCGTGGTGCCTCAATCACAGTAACTGTACTCTGTTCTAGCCTGAAGTTTCCAAAAAAAAAGTGAGTGTTGGCGAACAACCAGATCCATGATCATAAACAAAGATATAGAACAAAAGCAAGTTACCTCAATTGCTAAAGATGTTAACCATTGCTTGGGCAAGTGTCTGGTCAAATGTTCATCAACAATTGCGAGCGCCGGTGAGAACAATTGAAGAGCATTTTCTATTGCCACAGCACGAGAAGGGAACACAACAACATTCTAGGAACCAGGAGAAAAAATAGCATCATGTGAATTATAGGTCAGAAGCATAGGCATATAATCAGTAGAGTTCGAAGATAATATTGACAAGTCTTACATCAGGAGTTAGAGGAATGTGGTGGTAGCTCTTCATAAATCGTTTAGACATCTAGCTGGTGGCTCACAGGAATTGGACTTATTCTCTTTCAAAAAACTAGCTAGGTTGCTAGGAAGGGAATTTGTTCGACAGCAACAGAGTCATCATCAAAGGATAAATCGAGGGTATTGCTGACTTCATGAAATCCATCTTTAAGAAACTCAAATATTTCTGTTGTCATATTGCAACTTTTAGAAATCAATACAGAACAGAAAGGAACCTGGTTGGGATGGCGAAGTTGACAACTATACACAGACAAAGCATGTGAAATGCGGCCACCTGATTTCATCATACATGCCCAGGCAGTGCAAGCACAGATAGGCTGATCCCCAACAAGATCCATGAAGAACTCAAAGCGATGTCTGCTATTTTTCTCAATTTCAACTAAGGCTGAAATATCTGTGTCAGCAGCCTGCAACAAGGCAATTGATTGGTAATGATGCTGAAAAAATAATGCTAACTGCAACCCTGATAGAAGATTCAATAAAACAAAAGTTCTATAAGTACATTCACTTATTTAATTGGTGTTTCAACAACAATTGTTTAAACGAGCACACAAAGCTACATGAAATACAATGCATAAATAGATTTAGTACAGATCCTTAACTCCAGATCAAGAAAATTTTGAAGAAAAAACAATTTAATTAAATGGGGCTTGATTTTAAGTTTCATGAATGCGACTGCATTTTGATTGAGTGAAGAATGTATGTAAGACACCCTTAAACTAACCTAAAGTGCACAGTAGTTACTCAATGAGTACAAAAATTTCTCATTTGAATTTTCAGTTACAATCTTTGACATTGCCTCTGGATTAGGGTTAAGAATCTGAAACAAAGACATGTAATTGAGTAGCATTTTTTTCTTTCATTTTATTTCACCAAACAAGGGGGACAATTGCCTGCACCTGTGGTATGCATCCAACAATGCGATCAAGCTCTATCTTGTTGTCTCTACAGTAAGAAAGAAGATCGGATTCATAGAATTCAACTCTATCAAGCAATGTTTTTCCAGGTGGGGCTAGTGTCGTTAGTCAGAATAATCTTCAAACCAGCCCTTTCCAGAAAAAACATTTATAGAGAATCCAAAATTATATAATACAGAACATCCAAATGTTTACAAATGTTTTCCTGTAGGTGTCCATTCTTTAAGCATTCTGAATTTGCAAGGTGTCCATTGTACATACCTACCGGAAAACAACAGGTCATATGTATCCTTTCAGTTCCAGAAATGTACAAATGTTGTCACTCTTTCACCTGTAGAGTACAAGTTTCATCTGAACTTTTAGTTAATTCCATATGTTCAGTGGATAAAAAATTACCTGTGTTATAAAAAAATTAATGTCCACCATGTTAAGAGGATAAGCATTGCTGCAAACCCATGAAAAATACTAATTCATATAGAGAACAAACCATAAAATGAATAAAGCAATATCTAACTGAGTCAAGCCGCCATCACCGATCCTCACTTGCTATTGTTAGGTAGGTGGTCCCTTTCTTATGAATATATGATGATGAGGAAAAAATGATGAAAATACATCTCCCTCCTCATTAGGATGCACCGATGTGCAAGTAATTTTGAAAATGAATGTGAAATACTAATCTGTGAGGGATCATATATAGCTACAAAAAAATTTGATACAACATATGCTATCAAAAACAATCCAAGACCTAGAAGTGAAGCACTCAAAATTGACCTTCATTAGTAAGAGCATTCTTTTCTAGATGGCTTCCACTGCAACTCAACAAGGAGCATTTGTTCTATAAGAAAACAATATGAACACGCTTGAAATTGCAAGAAAGTGACACATCAAATAAGAAGGAACAAAGTAACCAGTCGGGATTGATTTGTGTCCACATACCTTGGCAACACGAGCATGGGTTGGGAGCTCAGATTCCCTCATTGCCTAATGATTCAAAATATTCTGACAAAAGAATAAAAAAGCATTACATATTGCAATAAAATTAGGAACAATGTACAGGTTGTAGCTTATACCTACTAAATAGCAGCAGTGTTTCTTAGATGCTTGTATTGTTCTGGAAACCTGCAAACTTTCCAATATGTTCAAACTGAAATTATGAGAGTGCTGATGACCTTAGTTTTGATATTCAATCTGCTAAAGAATTTTTTGACAAGTTGGTTTTTCAACAGCCGTGTCTAAAAATGTTGGTGCTGCGTATCTTTAAATGTGCAACTTCAATAAGGATACATGCCACATGGAGAATGAAATCTATGATCAGATCTCTAAAAGCCCATATGGCAGCAAAATAGGGAGGATCATAGAAGGATAAGGGATGTACCAAAAGGGTACTCCCACGAAGATAATTTATTTCAATTAATAACTGGATGGTTCATAAATATAAATAGGAGCGGCAGAACTCGGAAGAACAGAAACTGACCGTCTATGGGATGCGGTAACTGAATCGATGTCAACTTCCTCCTTGCACAAGGTAATAATTATTGCAGCACAAATCCCTAAGTCATGACATGGTCTTGAGGAGATAGTAAGCTGATCCGAAGGGTGCTGCTACTTTCCTGGTATGAAATAGGAGCCACCCCATCAGCTCTCATCTGACAAAGTAATGTAATTCAGTCTATGAAGGTAGTATGACAGATTAGATGCAGATAGTATGACAGATTTCATAAATAAAATGAAAGAGAATACACATTTGACAGCTTTCACTCAATAATTTCAGTCTATGCCGTCATTCTATTTAGCCGCCATTCTTTTCATTTTTTTTCGAAAAGGGGGGCATGCCCCAGCCTCTGCATCTGAATGATGCATACGGCCAATATTATTAATAAGCAAAATATCCAACATAAGTCTCCCGGTCTCGAACAAAGAAAGAAAATTTAGCCGCCCATTCTATTGAAAAGATTGTTTGCAAATTCCTGAAGAGAAACAATTTATCAAGCAAGAGAGCAGCTGCCATCTCAATTTTATTATTCTCACTTAATTCAATAATTTACTCAATTAATGGAATGGTATATGATGCCATTAGCCCATTATACTTGACCTTGCTGTACTTCAAATACTGTAGCAGTGACGGGATGTCTTGCATCAGATACCAGTAACTACGCGAAGCATGCAAGCGTCGATCGAATCATCCAACACAGGACATGTTACGACATTGCAAAGTGGAAAATAGGGAGCGTTCACCAGTACGTGGGGACGCGGAATCAGTAGATGAGCGGCCGCGGAGACGGGCTCGACATATGGGGAGTTTTGTCCTTGAAGCTGAAGAGCGTGCGCGGCGGCCGTCGCAACCCCGGCCCGTGCCGGACAGCCGCCGTAGTCGCGCGTCGCGTCGGGCCTCGAGGGGCGCGGCCGTCCACACCACGGCACGCGTCGGACCACGTCAGCACTCAGCCGCGAGGATGTCGAGGACGCCGCGATGGCCCTCGCGCCCCAGTGCGCCGCGCGCTGCAGACCAGCGTAGGAGGCAGGCCGGGTGCCGTGGCCCGCGCCCCTGAACTGCTCGTCCCAGCCCTGGCCTGCCGCCGCTGCTTCCTGACCTCACGCTAGTCACGCATGCCGGGTGCCGGTGGCCACGCACCTGCCCACCTCCGTCGCCGCTCTTGTCCCCGCGGCCACACCCCGGCCGAGGCATTGCTGCTGCCGCGATGGAGGCATGGAGCAGCCAAAGCTCGGATCTGGCCACCCGCGCAATCAGAGAGAAAGGGGTGGCGTTGGTGGACAGAAGGCCGCGGCGGCAACGCAGGTGGATGACGGCGGGGCCGCGGCACTGTAACACCCGTGGATTCGGTGTATGGACAGAAGGGCCCACCTGTAAGGTTAGGGGGAGAGAAGGCATATAAGGGCATGTACAATGGTGCTATTTTAGGAGACAAGATATGATCTCTTAGCACAATATGTCTCACCATGTTTACAGGAATAACTAGTTATTGAAGATAAGGCTAAGACATGACCCATTGTAGACGTCTTTTTTTGTCATATCTAAATTAGATGCAAGACTGAAGATAAGACTATCACCTGTAACGACCCGACCCAGGATGACGGCTAAGACCCACTCTACACGTTGAATGGACCACACCTATCAGTTAACCTCTTACTCTTTCGTCCTCGCTTCACGCAAAAAAGATCGATCTAGGTTAACAAGCCTCCTAGGACCAACTATTTAGCTTGGTCTGGCTCACCTCGGGCTAGCGATGTGGGACTAAATCCCACTCCCACTCGCGTTACAGTGTTTTCAGCGCAGCTAGAGTAACCGCACTACAGTAACCAGCTTCTGGCCCGGCCCACCTTGGCCCAACAACGGCCCACTGGGGTTGGTCTATTACAACTCACCTACCCTCGGAATTCGACGTCCCCGTCGAATTGCTAAGCCAAGCTACCTTCATCCAATCTAGCCAACTGCATCTATATCTCGATCAAAAGCTTGCTTCCTTATCTTCTTGAAGTGTTATCTTGATTTCTTGGATGAAGGTTATGGCAATGTTTGGATTCTAAACTATGTGACTATGATGATTCTTTCTTTTCTTCTTCCTACCAAAAGATCTCTACAAGCTCATAAGAACCAATTTCTTATCAAGATGTCCATATGTTGTTGGTGCTATAACTCTATCAAGTAAAAAAGTTTCCAAATCTATCTTGCACTTATTAAGTATGAGCTTCTCTAATCTATCTTGTTCTTTATCGAGAAAACCCTATCTCTCTGTTGCTTCATCGCCATTCCTATCATCTCCTCATTTTTTCCTTTTCCGTCCTTACTTGAATCTCGGGGACGAGATTCCTTAAGGGGGGAGAGTTGTCACGAACCAAAAATCCATAGCCACGGACAGTCCGTCCCTAGGGCACGGACAGTCCACCCGAGCTCGTCAGACCGCATCAAAAGCCACCCAGAAGCTTATCCGCTCACCCGTACGTCTCACTCACTTTCTCTCACTCTCATTCTCTCCCCCATTGCCTCCCTTCTCCTCCTCTCTTCCCCATGGAGCCATGGAGGGAGCAAACTCCTCCCCCCACCAAATCCACCACCAACCTCACCGGAGATCGCCGGAGGATGTCCCTGACAAGCTTCTCCACCACCTCCTCCTCGCCGGGAACCATGGGAAAGGTCAAGCCCAAGCTTTTCCTCTTCTTCTTCCTCAAGCTCTCAAGGATGAACTCGGCCCGATCTACTTCTACGTTGCCCTACGTCAACAAGCGGCATCAAGATCATGCTCTACTCATCGTCGGTGAGCTTTCCTCACCGCTCCCTCTCTTCCTTTGCCATCAATCAAGCTCCCTAGCCCCATCTATGGAAACCTAGGGTTCCCAATCACCATTGATGGGTTCGAGCTTCTAAAACTTGTTTTCTCTCAAATCTATCACTTGGAATCACCTCTATACACTTCTAGCAACCCATAGAAACAAACTCCATCCAAAAACATGGCCGGAGTCGCCGCCGGCGAGCTCGACGGCGAGCCACACCTCATCCGTGGACAGTCCGAGAGTCCCGGACGGACTGTCCGTAATCAAAACCAAATCATCCAGAGATGATTTTGGATTTTCGGGGTCCCGCGGACAGTCCGTACATGAGGTTCGAACAGTCCGTCAGCTCATCGCGGACAGTCCGTCAGTTGACCACGGACGGTCCGCAGTTACTATTCACAGCCCATGTATCATTTTTGTAAAATTCATATAAAATTGCATATAGCTCAGAAAAATGTGAACAAATTTTGTTGGTTTTCCAATGATGTAAAGAACCTGTTAAAAATGAGTTTTCTCACAAAATAATTAATTAATTTTCTGAATTAATTATATGAGTTTTAATCTTGTTAATTGCATAGTTAATTCTCTTTTAGTCCAAAAATCATGAAACCAATTTTGTTAGATCATATTTGAGTATATTTTTTCTCATGTCATTGCACTCATTCATGGTATGTTTATTTATTTTGTATCATTGCATTTCGTGTAGAGACCGAAGCGCTGGAGCAAGAGGTCGGCGAGTCCCAACAAGACCCCATCGCCAACGATGCCTCGGTTGGCACCCAAGGCAGGCACCTAAGCATTCTTTGAACCCTAATTTGGATCAAATGTGTATATGTGTCTTGTATGTGCATAAGTCAATATTAGTGTATATGTTTGCTTAGCTCCTATCTTTATGCATTTATCCTTCCTTGATCTAGAATAACCTCCTTTAGGTGAGTATGCTTGTTAGGTGTCACGTTTATAATTGCTTATCCATGCTTAGCTTCGGTAGAAGTCGAGAAGTGGCAAGGTCACCACCCCTCGCGAGCTATATCTATGCTTGATCTAATAATACTTGGATAGCTATGTTTGGTTTAAAATTTGAGCCATGATAATCATGTTTCGAGACTTGAGCAAGTGTGCTAGGGTCATTTGAG